TTTTTGATTGCAGCTTCCAAAATATCAAAATTGGATTTGTTTGACGACGAAGATGTTTTGCTAGCGATTCTTCCCCGCACTGCGGAACAGTTAAGGTCATTTTGGCTCAAGGGAATCGCCGATCACATCAATCTGGAGCAGGTCATCTCGCGCGTTAGGGATTTTTTTCTCCCTGCGCAAGTCAAGCATGCGATAATATCTTCAATGGTCTACAGGATTCAACGACCCTCAGAATCTCTTTCCGAATTTGTCGACGCCATTTTTGCCGCCTCATCATTGTTAGTCTCTGACTTCTCAGAACGCGATGTGCTCGATACGGTGCTGAACGGTTTGAATACACCGACGCGGGCGGCTCTTGCCGCTTTTCCGGCTGCGTGTAGTCTGTCTGATCTCCGGGCCTTAGTACCCAGGGTTCAGACTGTCCGCGCGCTGGAGCGGGGGCAGGCCGTCTCGCGACCGGATTTCCCACAGCGCAGTGTTGAGCACAGGCAGAGCTATCAATCAAACCCGCCAGGGGAGTGGCGAAATCGACGAAACAACCACAACTTTCCAGGCCACAGCGCCCAACGTTTCTCAAATGTTCAGCCACAGACTTTTCCACCTCACATTCCGCGTTTTCCGTTTCACCAGAACAATCAGCAATTTCCAAGGTCACATCAACCATCTCAACGTTTTGTATCAAACCGCGAGTCTCCGTCGACATCCCAAACTCAGGGAAACTCCAAAGGGGAGCACCGTTAGGCACCGCAGCGCTTCCCCTTGTTCAGTCTGTATGTCAGGTGCCCAAAAGGCAAAATTTGGTCAACAAACCTAAGGGTTCCCCAAGCATTCCGCCAAACGAGCTTTGTTACGTCACCCTAAATTTTAGGGGAATTGTAAAGGAAGCCCTTATAGATACCGGATCTTCGTTTTGTTTGTTGTCATCTGAAACTTATCAGCTCCTAAAGCGACATACCAGCGCAGTCGTCAGTAAAAACCCGACAACATTTTCAGCAATATCCGCAGCCGGCGAACCCATAAATTTCAGATTTGCAGCAAATATTCATTTCAAAATAAAACACCTTTCTTGGACGTATCAATTTTTTGTCACTGATAAATTACCAGTTCCCATTTTGATAGGGTCTGATTTCTTAACAAAAACCAAGGCACTTATCAACATGTGCACTCACTCTCTTAGTTTTCCGTATGGATCACCTGGATCCCCGACAGCCTTTTCACTCATGTGCACTCCAATCACCGAGCAGAAAGAACTTTCCTTCAATATGGGGGAAAATTTAAATCCCCAACAACGCCAAGTTGTCTCTCAGTTGCTTTCAGAATTCCCTGAGACCATCACTAGCAAGTTAGGGCGAACAAACCTCTTAAAGTATCATATCCGCATCAAGGAAACCAAAGTTGTGCGAAACAAACCGTATCAGTACGCCCCTCCCAAGCTTCAACTTATGCGGCAACACATCGACGAACTGCTACAAAAGGGAGTTATTAGGCCCTCCACGTCACAATATGCCTCCGCCGCCTTTCTAGTTCCCAAAAAGGGTGGGAAAACTCGCATGGTCGTCGACTACAGAAATTTGAATTCCATTTTGGAACTTGACGCCACGCCAATGCCCACCATAGAAAGCGCCTTTCAGCATTTAGGCCAGGCTCGTTGGTTCACACTCCTTGATTTGAACTCGGCATACAACCAAATTCCCCTGGCCGAAGAGTCTAAGCAATTCACGTCTTTTGTTGTTCCTTGGGCTCAATATGAGTTCAATTTCCTCCCTTTTGGTCTTGCTTCTGGTAGTATGGTTCTCACCTCCTTGATTGACAAAATTTTTGGCGACATAAAGTTCAAATACATTTACAATTTTTTCGACGACTTGTGTGTATATAGCGATTCAACCTTTGAAGACCATGTGGAAAAGGTCAGATCAGTAATCCAACGCCTCTGCGACTCAGGACTAACTGTCAATCCGGAAAAGATCACAGTAGCCTCCAATAAAATTCAGTTCCTTGGCCATGTTTTTTCCAATCACACTATTTCCATCCACCCTGACAGGACACGACCAATAGATGAATTTCCCATCCCCAAGAACATCAAACAGTTGTCCCGCTTCCTAGGAATGACAGCCTTCTACGCCCGTTTTATAAAAGATTATGCATCAATAACGGCACCTCTGAATCAGCTAAAGAAAAAGGGTGTCCCTTTCGTTTTTGGCCCCGACCAGATCACAGCCTTTCAAGCCTTAAAGAAGGCATTGGTTTCCTCCACCATCCTCCGCATGCCCGATTTCAACCGTCAATTCGTTGTCCACACGGATGCTTCCGGCTCATCAATCGGAGCAGTCCTTCTTCAGCCCCATGGTGATCAGTTGTTCCCGGTTTCCTATGCTTCCCGAGCTCTAAATAAGCACGAGCTCAACTACTCTACACTTCAACTCGAATGCCTTGCAGTAGTCTTTGCCTTGCAGAAATACCATCAGTACTTAGAACACCGAGAGTTCGAGCTTCACTCGGACTGCTCAGCCCTCACTTGGCTTCTTAATCACCCCCGTCAGATCGGCAAGATTGCACGTTGGATTTCTTTCATCAACTCCTTTCAGTTCAAAATTTACCACATTCGTGGAAGGGACAATGTTATCGCGGATTGCCTGTCCCGACTCTTTGAAAACACAGAACCAACAGAAGTTACACCTCCCACAACACAACCATCAATTTTATCTCTTTTCTCGTTACCCGAGGCCTTCAAGGACATCTCAAAGCATCAACTCGATGATCCCGACCTCAGGAAAATAATTAGATCCGCAAACAAACCTCCAAATTATTCAGTTGACAATAACACCCTTCTTTACCGTCTTCCGAGCCAAACAAAACCCAGAGTAGTTGTTCCTTCCAAGCTTTTCGATCTTTTATTTGCCTACTACCACGAGTCTCCCACTTCAGCCCATTTAGGCATCAGCAAGACCCTTGCCCGCATCGAACCCTTTTTCTGGGCACCAGACCTCAAAACCGTCATCGCCGATAAGGTTCGAGCTTGTGTCAAATGCCAAAGGTGCAAGCAGGCACCAAACACAAAGGTGGGGAAACTCTCTTCTGAAATAGTAACTCAACCGTGGGAGAAAATATTCATCGACCATATTGGCCCTCTGCCACTCTCTCTCAATCGAAACCAGTACATCCTAACCGTAGTGGATTCCTTTTCTAAGTTTTGCCTCATGATCCCTGTCAGGAATACCAAGGCCCAAACCACCGCATCAGTGCTAACCAAGCAAGTTTTCTCAATCTTTGGTCCTCCAAAATTCCTAGTTTCCGACAACGTCTCCTCCTTCAAGTCAGTAACAGTCAAAAACCTTTGCATGGGACTAGGCATTCAACACATCTACACCAGTCCCTATTACCCCAACCCTTCCCACGCCGAAAGGGTCAACAAGCAAATAAAAATAGCCATCCGAATTTTCCACCATGAACACCAAAAACGCTGGGATCAGGAATTACACTGGTTCCAGCTAGCATTCAACTCTGCCCGTCACGACTCCACCAAAACTTCCCCAGCCCGTTTATTCCTTGGTCGAAATATATCCCATCCTTTAGAGCTCCACTGGAATCTAGACAGGCTAATCGACGACCAGGCTTCCCCACAGTCTTCAAATGAAGAGTGGGGAAGAGCCGTCGAGAACCTCATCAGAGCTAGACAGCTTAGGCAGCAGAAATACGATCTGGACAGATTGCCCAACCCGTACAAGACCGGGGACTGGGTAATGTTCAGAGAACATCACCTCAGTAGAGCTGCCGATGCCATCAACCAAAAATTGCTCCCTGTCTGGTCCAAACCTTGCGTCATTGAAGCATTTTCGTCCCCAGTCACTGCACGTTTGGTAAATCCATCAACAGGAAAATTCATTAGAAATGCACACGTGTCACATCTAAAACGATTTTTTCAGCCACAATTTTAAAGAAACAACAAGATCAATCTCTTTACCCAGATCAGAACACTCTGCTAAAGTGATATTAGGTTAAGTCTTCTCAATCTGTCGCTGTCCCCGCCAACGCCCGGGGGAAAGTGAGTCTCGGGGTATCCTTCCTTAGGATGGGCTGCCCTACACGTCTTCCTCCGTGCGTTGTCGGCCAAATCTTTTACCCCTCCCTCTTCGTCTCTCGCACCCTCACTGAGTTCAGTAAAGAATTTTTTTGATTGAATCACGTTTTTTGTGATTACTTTCCACGGGGAGTTTAATTTTATTTTTATTTTGCTTATTTTTACCCCCGTAGGAAAGGGCTCAGTGATGGCACCTTCTGTGGCGACCTAGCTAGTCGAGTGTTTAGAGACAAACTCTCTTTCTATTCTTTCCTTTACCTCCCTTATTTTCTTTTCTTACTTCTTAGCTTAATTAGTCACTAAGGTAGAGTTAGTTAGATTTAGGGGAGAAATAGTTACCAGTTTAGTTAAGAAATTCAGTACTTTTATTTTTTACAAAAAAACAAACGAACCGGAAATCTTGCCTCTCAAGGAAATACTTGATAAGGAAACAACCTCCAGAATCCCAAGAAAACCTATTCCCACCTTTTTCTAGCGCTTACCGACGCGCAATTTTCTGCATGCGTAATAATTTGCATGCGAAACGTTCTTTATAAAAAAAAAAAAAAAAAAAAAAAAAAAAGGGTTTTAACAAGAACAGTTTACTATCCTTCCAAACTCCTTCAACACACAGACCCCAAAACGGTACCCGCGAGTTCCATCAGTCTGGTTTTGAGTAGCTCGGCCCCAACGAACCCATGGTTCACCTTTTGAGTCCGAGCCAACCCGTCAGTGATCGGACCTCCACCTTGCGACCAACCCTTCTTCATTTCCACAACGACAGTCACCTTGAAAATAATTTTTTTTACGATCATCTGCGATCTGATTAAATATTCATTTCCCCCAGCATTATTTAATAGAAACCAGACAACTGCACAATCAAAGCAACCAAAAAATAATAAATAAATCAAATGAAAAAGCAAAACTCAATTAACAACTCTACAATTTTCCCGCATACCAATCAATCATGAAATATCGTGCACATCTGTTTTGGACCACAAGAGACATTTACCTTCTACATCCCCCATCATCAGTCAGCGATGCTCCGGCCTTTTCCGCATGAGTCATCAGCCAGCACACCTTGGGCGCAGCCAGCGATGCTCCGGCCTTGTCCGCATGAGTCATCAGCCAACACACCTTGGGCGCAGCCTGCGATGCTCCGGCCTTGTCCGCATGAGTCATCAGCACACAACATATCTTTGCCTACACTCAGCCTGCTGCCTTCAACACTTAGCCCATACCATCAGCACCTCTCAAGACCTGCATCACCAGAAGACACACCAGCTGATCTCAAATTCCCCCACAGTGCACCAGCAATGCCTTAGGAAGAGAACCTTATTTAAAAAAAAAAAAAAAAAAAAAAAAAAAATCTTTTGTGTGTGCAGTTGTCCGTCCCTTTTTATTTCACAACAGAAAGCAATTCAATTCCAATTTTTGCCAGGTTAGGGAAACAAACTGTCGTCCCCACAATACCTTCCTCTTTTCGCAGGGGGGGTGGATCCCGCTCTCTGCCGTGGTTGGTTAGGGAAAGTCCGGTGGTCCGAGGTACCTATTACAGCCAGGCTGGTCAGAACCTTCCACATCTGGAAGCAAACCGAACGACAAACTTCCCCACAAAAAAAAAAAAAAAAAAAACACCAAACCAAACCCTTTCACCAACCTTCAAAAAAACTGTTCTGTTCTTTTCTTTTCTTTCGTCGTAAGGGGGGTGGTTGTGACGCATAGCGGCACGCTATATTTTTTATAGTGTGTGCAGTTCGCGAAGCCGGGCTGCATGTTCATCTCGTTGCCTGCCGCGACTGCATCAATGCTTTATCCCCACCTTTCCTAGTCTTGTCCTCCTTCTCAGAAAACCGGCATCTGGACAGGAAACCTCTCCGGAAAACACCAGGCATTCTCTCGATATGATGGATAAGTTAATTGATGGCTAATAAGTAGTAATAAGTTCAAATTATGGTTGGCTAAGTCAGGTAACAAGCGGGGAGCCCTTCTGGCTCGCCCGACTGGTGAAATGTAGGAAACAAATGTTAGCCGGGTTCGCTACCCTTAAGGTAGCGGACCTTCTCAAACCTGTTAGTTAAACCACATGTTCCCAGAATGTAGCTTAGCAATTATCCATCAATTTCATACATATTAGCCACTCAATATTCAATCTACATATTATTTCCCTCACTCATCAATATTAGTAAGTAATTTCCCAAGTTCAGTTCATAGTTTGAAGGATAGGTTAATATTTAAATAGTTAGTTCAATTGGTTCAATCAAAGCTGGCTAGGCAAGTGTTCTGATCTGGGTAAAAGGTCTCCGTCCCTCTGGTCCCCAGCAATCTTCCTAATTTTATTGGTAGCAGATTCAGCACGCTTATGTTAAGTTTGGTCCAGACACACCTTCTCCTAACCTATTACATTACCCTGTTTATTCCCTCCTGATTACCCGAATTTCCCTCCTCCATCCCATACCTTAACCCCGCATCCCCTCACCAAACGGCCCCCGGCTACAGTGTTGACATACCTGGTGGGGCAGGCATTGCTACCTCAGCAGGAGTAAATCCTGGAGGAACCGTTGGAGACTTGGGCACTTTTGGCTTTCGCATCTTCTTCGTCTTCTGAACACCAGCACCTCTGTGAATCAACATCCCATTATAATTTGGTTACTAATAGAGGTGTGCGAGTGCTCGAGTATTTGAATACTTGGCTCGACTAAAGTATTTCAAGAAAACTCAAAGAGTTGAGGTTTTTAATGAGTTGGATGGAATATATTTGTACAGAATGACGGAATTAAAGCACAATCTTTACTCTAGCAAGTTATTTTATAAATCTTAATGTATACGGGCCTTAGAACATACTAAGATATGGTATATAAAACTGTGCTTCGTTCGGAAAACTCAAGGACCAAGACTTGAATGAAAACGAGGGCAGCTTTTTAGATCTAACGAATAAATTACAAAGGCACAATTTGTGCCAAGCTAGCTGCAATCCTTCCAATTTTATAGAAAGCAATCACTATACAGTAGAACCTCTCATATCCGGCCTTGGTTTTACCGGTCCTCTGTTTATCCGGCCCCTTCCAAGAAGCCAATATCAAAATGTTTTTCTCACAGCTTACAAACGTTTAGATGTAGCACTAGTCTTTGTGACCGCTCAAGTCATAAAATAAATTGTTCTCTTTACTTATCTGTTTGTATACACATTTATTTGCCGAGTCACTATACTCAGTTGAGCTAGAAGGCCTAACCTCTGATCAGTTGGTTGATTATTTCCAAATTGGGGTTAGTACAGTACAATACATTGATTTTTGTATTTCACAAAATGGATAAGAATGTTGAGTAGAAATGCATGTACCATTTAAGTCCTAATGATCTTCAAGTACAATTTATTGTCATTTTTACCTCCATTTAATAGGGGTTGTTACCTGAAATCATAATATTTGTACATTTATTACTTAATGACTTAAACCTACAAATATTTTTTTTCTTTTTACAAACATGTTTATTTTTCTAAAAATGATCCCAGAACAGAATTAAATGATACTTTTGATTGCATATATTGATTACCTATTATTATTAGGTATGAATTGTCATTTTTATAGTAGGTTGGTTTATCCGGCCAAATCGTTATCCGGCCAGGGGCTTGGTCCCATGGTGGCCGGATATGAGGGGTTCTACTGTATCATCAAATAAAAAGTTTCTGAAATTATTAAAAAATGTGGATCCTAGTATGAACTAAATATTACACATAATATTTGAAATATTTAAATACCTGCTATTAGGCAATCCAATCTGGTTGCAAACTAGTTTTGGCTCCTATATGTCGAGCCATCATCAAGGAAGTTTTCTTTCTCAATATGCAACAATATTGGATAGCCTAGTAGCAGGTATTTAATCTTTTAAATTAATATTTAGCAATCCAGAGGCTAACATCTATAATTAACTTACACATAATAGTTTTCTTCGTCCTCTTCGCTTTTCTTCCTCCCAGAAGTTCGAGAACTTGGTCTGAAAAATCATGCAAGGAAATTAATCATTTTAGTCTTTGAACCATAAGTTGAACCAATTAAAATTCAACATACCAAGTGCGTTTTATTTGAGTATGCCCACAACCACCAAAGCTACCATGCTACAATATGCATTCTACAGTTCAAGATAACTTTAAGTCTCTTACACCACATGCTCAGATTATTTTTACAATGGATAGGGCCTAATTGATATGTGTATAGTAGAAGATGCCTGATTAAATTTCTAAACTATTTAATAATGAAAATTGTTTGAAATCATGGGAAACCTTTATTTATCACGACATGCATTACGAGTCATCTACAATAGCCTAAAACTACTTGACTACTTTTACTTGGAACACAGAAAACAGCAAATTATCACTTTAAAATTATTGGGGGGTGTAATTTAAAGTGCTTATTTTCAGCAATCACAAAGAAAGGCATTTTCAGTGAAAGCATTATTATAGCCAACACAATCAAATTTCAGGAAGGCTTGTCCCATGTCTGAATTCAGCACACTTTAGAAAAAAAATGACAGGATTGTAGTTACTAATGGTACTGAAATTGATTAAGTTATGCATGCAGGGATTTCAGACTTTTTAAACTAATTAGGTTAGTAAGAACGATATCTTTTGTCAAATTTCGACTTCTGTAATCTCTAGATATTAAAATATTAATATTAGGAATTGTTGCTAATTCATTGTCAGAAGATTCAAGATTCAAGATTCAAGATCTTTATTTGTCATTAAGCAATACAAGTATTACAATAGACATCGTCAAAGTTGTTTTTTTTTTATTTTTATAATACATACAGTTATTTCCTGTTAGAGTAGGCCTAATAGCAAGAATGCACCAAGTGAGTAGCAATCACTCTTTAAAATATAACAGTTAAACATAATTAACTCTAAAATAAATAAATTAACAATTTATTAAGGAAATTGACAGGAAAGCAGGCCCACCCTCAAACAAGTCCATAGAGACACACAACACATCACAAAACCAAAAGTAGAAATCCCCGCGGTCACCGACCACTCCCTCAACCACCGGAGACCGGAGAAATGGCAATGGCAGTTGCAATACTGGTATTGCCACTGCCATTGCCACCTCTCCAAACTCCAGCGGTTGAAAAAGCGGCCAGCGACCACGAAAATTTCCACCCCCAATCCCGCGATGTGCTATGCGTCTCCACGGACCCATTCAAAGGCAAGCCCGCCCTCCTGTCAATTTCCTTAATAATTCCTGGCAAATGCCCTATCTTTTTATAAGATAAATTAACAATTTACATGTCAATGATCAAAAATAAAATCTGTAAATATAATAACAATAAAATATTTAAATATAATAACAATTAAATAATTAAATATATTAATACTAACATTGATGTTCTAAAAACATAGGGAACTAATATCACAGGCCAGATAATCGTCTATGGAGTAAAAAACATTTTCCTTAAGCCATTGTTTTATAATAGAAACAAATTGTTTAAAGGGTACAATCCATGCCTTTTTTGGCAATTTATTGAATAGTTGTATCTTCATACACATGTGGCTGCTCTTTGTTTTTTCCAATCTTACAAAAGCTAAATCTAATTGATAGTTATTCCTAGTATAGTACTGATGAGTTTCGTTTCTAGTTGTAAAATTTTTCAAAGACTCCTTAACATCTATTAGACAACAGTAAATATATAGATTAGGCAAAGTCATTATTTGTAACTCTTTGAATATTGGTTTACAAGACTGTCTTTGTGGTATATTCTTGATTGCTCTCAGTGCCTTTTTTTGCCATCCAAGAGCAGACTGTGCACTGCAAGAGTTGCCCCATAAGGTTATACCATATTGTAGATGGGAATGAAAAAAAGCATAGTATGCAGTAATCAGCATATCTGCAGTAACACAGTGTCTTAGTTTTCTGAGAAGACAAACCACCCTGGCCAGTTTCTTACACACTTGCTCTAAGTGACTATCCCAACTTAATCTGCTGTCTAAATATATGCCTAGCAATTTCACAGATTTAATATCCTTATAAATAGAGTAGTTAAGAGTAAAAATTATATTTTCAGTTTTCTGGTTATTTACAATTAAATGATTGGATTGGAACCATTCTTGTGCAACTAGTAAAGCCTGACTCTCAATTTTTTTAAGTTCCTTTAAATCTTTATGGCTGTTTAGGAGTGTTGTATCATCTGCATAAAGAACAGAGGTACAAGGAATATTGAAAGAGAAATCATTAACTGCAATGATAAATAGTAGTGGCCCAAGCACTGACCCCTGGGGTACACCATTTTCAATTTTCTTAAAGCTAGATTTGTCTTTGCCCTGGATTACCATTTGCTCTCTGTCACTTAAATAAGAAGCTAACAAATTCAACTCTTGGTCCCTTATACCATAGCTGTACAGTTTCTTAATAAGAAGCTCATGTTGCATACAGTCAAAAGCTTTTGTTAAATCAATTAGTAATGCAGATGAAAGAAGTTTATTTTCAAAGTTCATTAAAAGTTTACTGACAATACTTTCTACTGCTTTGCATGTACTTCTACCTTGCATAAAACCAAACTGTTCATCACAAAATAGATCATTATTGATAAAATATGTATTGAGCTGTGCTTTAATGCAGGTTTCAAAGATCTTACTTAGTATGGGTACAAGAGAGATTGGCCGGTAACTGGATGGGTTTTGTTTCTCACCTTTTTTACAAATTGGCATTACCTTACAAAGTTTAAGTTTTTTAGGGTATATACCCTGATCCATCATTTTATTGAAGAGAAATGTTAATGGCTCTACTATTTCATTAATAATTTCTTTGATAACCCTATTAGAAAAACCATAATAATCTTCACTTCGTGAGGAACTTATACACACCTTATTACATCAACAGTATTGATTTTTTGCCACTTGAAAAACTCATTGCCTAAGTTTCTATTTGAGACAAAATTATTAACTAATTCTACTGCACGACTACTAGACATATCACTAACATTGCATTCATTTAATTCATTGACTACATTAACAAAATAAACATTTAAAGTATTTGAGTCTAAAACTACATCTTGGTTATTTTTTCTGCAATTTGATTCAGCTTTTATCAAACTCCATGCTGCCTTACATTTGTTTGAAGAATTTTCAATATACCTATCATTTGCAATTTTCTTAAAATAACTAATCCTTTTTTTTATACATTTTCTTTAATTTCAAGTAATCTAGTTTATGGACTCCTTCGTTTGTTGTACCCATAGAACTTCTATACCTGTCATAAAAAGTTGTGACATATATCTTAAACCTCTGTAACTCTGGTGTATACCACTTCAACTTGGGCTTGCCATGATTGTTTATTTTAACTTCCTTAAACCTACAGCTTTCATTAAAAGAATTTGTCAATAATAAATTAAAATGGTTAAACGCTTCATCTACATTGTTAAACTGTGCTAATTGCATCCAATTAATTTGTGACAGTTCATTCCTTAAGTTAGAGAGTGCTCTAGGAGTTGTATCCCTTATTGTTTTAGTTGTGATATTATTGGACTTTGTCCTGTTGACTTTCATTTCATTAAATTTTGCAAACACTCCTGCATGATCTGATAAGTGTGGTTCAATTACAGAACAATTTACTTTATTTCTATCAATGTTGGTTATAATATTATCTAAACACTTATCACCCCTAGTTGGATTTTCATTTAACCAGTAAATGTTATGGGATCGTAATACATTTTGGAAGAAATCTCTTTCTTTTGATTTAATTAATATATTAATATTAAAATCTGCAGTTATAATATATCTTGAACCAACATATTTTGTATTTAAGTGTAATAAAAAAGTGTCTAGTATTTTAAGAAACTGGTTGATATTTGAATCTGGAGTTCTGTACAAGGTGGATATAATGACATTAATTCCTGGCAAATTAATTGCAGTTACCTCAAAAATATTGTCCTGGTAAAACTGTGTTACATCTAACGCTTGAGCCTCAATGCCTCTCTTATAATATATAGCACTTCCACCACCTCTTGTAAGAGAATTATTTCTACCACAAATACTACCTAAGTTATACCCGTAAGGAATGTAAAAAGCAAATTCTTCTTCGAACATCCAATGTTCATTAATAGTTAAAATATCACAGTTAAGATTTGTCAAAAAGGCATCAATTAAGTTTAACTTATTTCTAATAGATTGAACATTACAATGATAAATACTAAGACATTCATTAGATAGACCTAGGGTACGTTGCCTTGCGTTGGTGGAGAGACGTTTCCCGATTGAGACTCAGTGCCTGGTGGGGGAGGTTGTTCATCGTGTGTAGGCCTACTCACTGGACGGTTGTACTCCTTAGCAGCAACCGCCTCAGCTATCCTATCCGCAAGCCATTTCTTTCCCTTGTTGTTGAGATGGAGACCTTGGCGTGTTTGCAAATGTCTTTCCGCTTTGCTAGCTTCCACAAAAAATACATTGTTGTGTTTTTGACAAAGTTCTTTGAGTCGTAGGTTGGTTTTTCGTAATTCATTATTCACGCATGACCAATTTGGCAAGTCATATCTCATTGGCAAATCCACAATGCACACAGTTTGTTGTTTCCACTTGTCCAAGAAAGTCGATATACCCTCAACACATTCATCTGCTTCATTTCTAGCCACATCGTTTGTACCACAAATGATCACTAGAGCATCTTCTTTTCTAAGATTTTCACCCTCAATATTATTTGTATTTAAAATTTGATTTGTTCGACCACCTGGTCTAATAAATCCTAGTGTTTCATACAGCTTTTGGGATTTTTTTAAATGGTTTTTAGAAGCTTGGTTATAACTGTTGGTTCAGTAACCCTTGGTGGGCAGACAGGTTACAGTTAGGATGGCACAAAATTAAAAAATCTAAAAAGATTTACTATAACATCATCCAAAATAACACATTACTTACTCTAAATTAACACAACAAAAGACTTTTTAGTGGATGAATATTATTTTGTCGTATTTACAAATACAAAGTGGTGAGGAAGAGAAGAGGAAGATCGGAGAGAATGGATGTCTTTAGAAACTGTCTTGCTTGCACAGGAAAGAAAAACTATAAACTTGTTTGCTTATTTTTTCATTATTTTGCTTTTAGTTGTCAAATGTGTAACGTTTATTGAAAGCAAAGCTTTAACTTTTGCCATTCTTAAAATTCGTTCAGATAGTGGTTCCTACAGAAAACCACACATACAGTGAAAAAAAGGCACTTGACTTAATCTTCCAGACATAACAAACCCAAACAATACAAGAGGCCTGGGTCCAAGCACTTCTTTTGTTTATTTACAGCCATAAATATGCTTTTATCTACAAGGGGACGTGAATCAACCCACAATTGTAAATATTCTTACAAAAAAAATGCAATCTTGAGGCTGGATTCAATTGTCTCCGGATTTTATTATTTAAGGATTTTATCCTTTTTAGTCAATAAACTTGCATTACTACAATCAACTATAGCTATATATCTTCTTCCTAAGAAATGAGTAGGGTCTATTTATATATTGAGCCCCTTATCATTTTTAAACTAACCTTACAAATGTTACACAGCACATTTTTACCGTCTTTCTAAGTGAAATAATAGTACCACAGGGGAACTTTACAGGCATCCTTCTTATATACAGTATATAAATTTTTATCAGTTGTTAAAGAATTAAAGAAATACACACAAAAACACAAGCAACCGCACTTGCATGTAAAAATCACTCTTCGCTCTACACTGAACTTGGTGAGTTGAGCAGCCGTAAACTTTGACTACTAGAGAACAACTAAAATGGAAATATTGCTCAGTACAATGAACCTACATAGGCTAGAAAATATGGGAAGAATTAGGTGCAGCAGTACATTTTTTTAATATGTAAAAATTCTTGCCACAAAGACTGATTGTACGAAATAATAAAGGTTATATTCCTCTGTTTGTCTTCAGTCTTAAAAAATAGTCTGGGGATGACTAGTTTTGGGTCAAAGACACATTATCAAATCCACGTCAAATTGAGTAGTCTATAACCCGACAGAAGCCATCAAAACGTATGATTATAGCTTTATGTGTTGACCCAAAACTAGTCATCCATAGACTATTTTTTAAGACTTAAGACGGACAGAAGTATGTAAACATTATATTATTTAGTAAATTTTTTCACAGTAATAAAACAATTTAAAATTCAAATACAAATCAACTGTTTAGCCAAGTCACAAAGATAGAATGATAAATAATTTACATATAGTTTTTTAAATGTGCTATTTATAATGCAATTGGTGTAACAGCAAATTTTATCTAGCTTCACAATATAATTAGGCAAATAATGCTTCAATGTACGATTTTAACGTTATAATTGTCAAATAAAATTTGTTCATCGTGTTTCATATCAAGTAGGCCTAAAATTCCTCAAGTTTTCTAAAGTCCTATTATAGTCCATGGACCGAAAGTATTAATCCTGAGATTTTGAGGAGTCAAAAAACTGGCCGAGATCATGAAATTATGACCCTAACCTACAGATTATGAAAGACTCAATCACAATCATTAATTTCTATATCAGAATGAATCTTAATGGCAATAAGTCTAGTTTAGCATATATTGCAAGAGACGTAAAACTCACAGCATCGCATCTGATTAAATTGCAATTTATAAACACATTTTGTGTTGAATTTCTTTCTCAAAGAAGAATCCAATTTCACAATAACCAAAGGATATCCTTTATTAAAAGTTACTTTGCCAAGTAGGTCTATTTTACTAACTGTGGTAAAACAGTATAACATGGATAGACACAAATTAGGAAAAACATTTTACAAAGGGATGTGCAATCACGTACAATTCCTCTGTATGCACAGAACACAGTCGCTTATCCTTAGCTTGCCCTTACTCCATCTCGCTGTAATATCCTCTGCTATCTGCGAATTCTTTTAACTTGGCAATTGTGGGCTCCTTGGCGTGTACTTGCATCTAATACTAAATTTATCCATAAAACCTCTGTCCTTGTGGTTAAATATTAGTGTCAATTCTCGATACCACGGCTGATACTCGGACATTGGTATCGGTATTGAGAATACCGATAACCAACACATCTGCGAAAATCTCGTGAACATGGGAGAAGATGATGTCAACATGGCCGTGTGAAATGAAGAATTTTGATCGGGGGAGACGACAATAATATCCACACGACCAAGGGAAAAATGTTACTTACTAAGATACAAAGCAAAAACTCCACATAAATGTAGAAGCGATACCGGACAATAAAAAAAAAACTGCCTTAAAATATTGAAATCACATTTAACTTCAATACGACTTTCTTAGACTACCGTACTATGAAATTGGCTGACTGAGAAAAACAACATTTTCAGAATTTGTTATGTTGTTACTAGAAACAAAGATTTTTGAATTGCGTTTATTTAGCAATGTTAATTCATTTTTTTATGGTTAAAATATATCCCACGGTCGTGTTGACACCATCATTGATTTTACATGTATATTGAGATTTGATAAATAAACGACCCAAATTCCGGCATATTTTCTACAGTTTTTACATGGTAATTTAATTATTGTATTGATTGATGTTTGCTATACAATGTATAATAAATTGTCAAAGAGCAATAAAGACATTTTATAATTATCATCGTCTCCCATGGTCAGTAAAATTGTTATTGTTTTTCGCGATTAAGGCAAAATGATAAATATATCCCGCAGCCGTGTACACACCATCATTGTTTCACGTGGTCACGGAAACATCGTCATCGTTTTTTGCAATCGCGGCAAAATGTTAAATATATCCCTTAGTTGTGTTGACACAATCATCGTCGCCCGGGGTCAAGGAGAATCACGCTGTAAAAGCAGTGAAACCGTAAATTTTCCAATCACAAAATCGTTGCAGACAGTAGTAAAAGCTCAACATGACTTGGCCTATTTTCTTTAGAAGACTCTGAATTTTGGTAAAAATCCAATTATCCGATTGGGGTCTGGTCCCAATTGATTCGGATAGTTGGAGTTTTACTGTATGTGTTTATGTATTTATTTTCATCTACTTTCGTCAAGGTAAGCCTGCTACCTATTCACCCCCAAATCCTTAATAATGGTGGCCTGAAGCTACCTTTCCCACACAAAATTACTGATTTTTTGTTGGTTTAATTGAAACACAACGTTTTAAATTGATCGCCAGTAGCCGAGAAAGTTGCGTGGAACCGTAAGTTGTCTTCAGAGCTGAAGGTGTGTACACTGTAGGTATTGCCAGTCTATGTTATTCCTTGCATACTGGGCCTACCTTGTAAATTGATAGTCATCCTCAATTTTCCGTCTCCACTCCATTTGTCGGAGTCTTTCCAAAGCCATCTCCTTTGATCTTCCGCTGAACAAAATCAAAGTAAAACAATCATAATTGCTTTAAGTGCATTGAACTATAACATGACCTATACCAAAAATGACCAAGAGCAGGAAAACATTATGCCTGCAGTACACTATCACCGAATGTAGGCGAACTAAGTCGAACACGATAGTGTGCTTGTGAACATTTGGGGTAGTTCGCATCGCCAACATTCGTGTTCGGGTGGGCTCGCTTTTTTGGCGGTCTCCCGTCGCGAATTAAAGGAGACGAATGCTGAGCGCAGACGGGCACGAACATAGCCAGTACACACTCGCTGTCATTCGTAGTCACGGACACTCTCTTTATACAGTAGGCCTATTTACTGCAGTGGTTGTTTAGTTAGAGTTACTTTTAGTTTTTGTTATTTAATTATTTTCTACTAGATCTTATATACGGTAGATAAATTAATTGTACAAAGTACGGAGTGTTCTAATGAGGAAACGCTATTATTTTTGGAACTGTACCATAGTGAGTCTGTTCTGTGGCCGTGGGATAATTTAATTGAATATATATATACCTGTATAAAGTATCGCTTAATAAAACAAACATTTTAATAAATAAAGCAAACATTAATTTTAAATTACTAAGCCACAGAGAAGTAAGAAACTTAGGATACATTCAAGTGGTGTCTAACACCAAAACTGAAATTATACAATTTCCTCTATAATTATCTAGAATAGTCTTCGAAGTTAGCGTCCATGTTGCACAAAGTTTGGTGCGAATGTTTTGCCGCGAATACGCAATATTGGGTTCAGCACAGTTCGGCCAAAGTTAGCCGATAGTGTACTTGGTTAGTTCGGGATGGTTCGGGCTGCGCATTCGTCAATATTCGTGGTCGTAATCTGACCCGAACATTTGGCGAAACATTCGGGCGAATGTTCAGTGATAGTGTACTGGTAGCTTTACAATCTAATGTCATTAACCAGGATTTTTAAACGCCCGCCAGACCCTACTACAGTAGTTTTCCCCGAGCCACCTCTCATTTTGCCATCTACTGCTCAGCAAGTGTTCGTGTTGGTCATGGTATTGATTAAAATTCATATTTTATAATTAAGGTAATATTGAAAAGTAAATAGTCAAATATCAAATGCAATTTCAGAACCATATTTACAACTAAATGGTTCTCTGAAGGGTTCATAACCTTCCAAAGTATAAACCTTCTCATAGTTTTACTTCATTTATAGTAGGATTTTGGGTAGGCCCTAAATTTGAAAACAATACATATGTCTACTGTCACACTCACGATTACGAACAGCTGCAAAAGATCGAGCAACGAATCGACAGTCCCAGTTCAATTTAGTTCACTGATTCTTGACCAGAAGCCACCACCTACCAGGACGAGCAGACCTTGTCAAACCGTAACCGTGTCTCTGCGACGAGAGAGGCTTGTCATACCGCCCTGAAGGGTTAATCCGGACATGAAAAATCCAGACCATCAATAATTCTGGTTTATTCATGTCTGGAAAACAATAAAATGAAAAAATGCACTATATAAGTGGCTCTTAATCGTAGCGGGCAGCAGGTGCAATCAGGCGACACGACTTAGCCCATCAGGTATAGGTACAACTGGAAATACCTATACCATTTCCACAGATCTGTTGGGAACTGAGTGAAGTAAAAATTTACTTCCTCTGTACAGTACTGTTGATTGGTCCAGGATTGGAATCAGTTGTCTTGGTCCAAGTCCACATATCTCCTGTTCCCAGCTCATCTGCCAAAACAGTTAGGTGTTCAATAGAGCACATCTGCCCACACGTCCGAATCATACAGGAATACGGACTGGACCTCCCACATGCCTTGTGCGCCAAACAAAAGATCAGGTCCCACCAGCTAAGCTTACTGCCTATTATAACTCCAAGGTACTTTGCGGCACAAACGGTTCAGCACACTTCAACCTGATTTATCCTTAACCCCCCCCCCCTCTCCCCCCAACCAAGATGGTGCCACTTGCTTATTGGTCAGAATCACAATCTCCATTTTGCTCAGAGCAAGCAAGAGATTGTGGTATAACATTAATGATTTGAAGGAACTTTTGACTCGGATCAGTTTCAGCTGAACCAGCCAGCAGTCTGCAGATCATATCTGCGCAACCAACTAAAATAGTGTCCTCAGTCTCAGGCATTTCAGACCTTCAGAAGTCTGAGCTGAGTATGGATGCTTGAGCGGCACTATAAGTGACACTCATCGTCCTTAGGGCTTCTGTGTTGTCAGAAATGAGGTAGGTAGCGGAAACGGAAGTAATGCTGTTATGATTCACAAGAGTTATGCCAGGACTAGGAAGGTTTTCTGAAGAGCGTCATTAGTATATCAATATAAATCATATAAAACGTTTTATGCACATCAATTTTTACGAGCAGCACAACCTACGAGAATAGTGGTTGAAATCCTCAGCTCTTATCACAGCTCGCTTAAGTTCTCAATATCAGTTTGATGACTGCTTAGGATCAGTTAATGGTATACATCAATTGAAACTTTAAACAATAATAACAGTGGCATCAGCAAAAATGTTTTTATCTGTCCACTAAACAAATTTTGATTTATTATAAATTGCAGTTTCTTAATTAGTTCTCTACAAGCCTTAAATGAAGTGGTCTTGCAGGACACTGGATGAGTCTTAAACTTGGCAATATCGTCAAGCTAAATTTGAAAACAAGAAAAGATATAACCAATACGACTGAATAGACTGGACTGTATGCAAATAGGCATATTGAGTGCAAATTTTATTAGGGTTGAGATTTAAGTTAGCCAATTGAGGCCTGGTTCCTAAAGTTAATCTTTCACTGTTTGAATAGCCTATATAATTTCTAAGACTTATTACTAAAAAATAGCCAATTTCCAATCTGTAAGGAAAACCCTTACAAAGGTGACACTAGAAATTTCAAAGTTTGTTCCCCCCCATGGACAAATCTTCTGAAGAGGTCTATCCATATCAAGTGATCCAACAGGGGTTTGCTTGACCATTTTTAAAATAAATAATATTTTTATCCTAGATACCTTTATCAATTCTGGGTTCAAAAGTGATTTTAACAATTTTTTATCTATTTTGTTACTCCTACGGCGGCCACTTTTGTTTTGCGGAACACGCAAATTTTTGCTCATGTAAGGGTTTGCATTAACTTGCACAGCTCGGTAACCATGAACACTAGAGTGATGAAACAAAAAGCATTTTAATCTGGAAGAAACAGCCTAAATATTATGTTCTGTACATATTTATTGAAATGTGTATCAAAAACAGTTTTAACATTTCAACATTTCATAAGAAAACGGAAAATTTTCAACTTTTGAAGGCGTATTACCATTGGAAAGAATAAAATCTCAGACTTGATTTTTTTTGTGTGTGTAGCATCTCAGTAAAACTGTTTGTATTTCAAATATCAACCATGAGACTTAGGTAATTCCTTTAAAAGTTATCATTTTTCAAACTTTTCAAACTTTTTCAGACTTTGATGCCACAAGGATTTGTATTTGATTTTTATGATAGTGACAAACTATAGGCTACACATGCATTGAATACAAGTTACTAAAGGCAATAAAAAGCTAACATAAAACAATTGCAGTGTTACAGTAGACATGCAAAGTATACACAGTATTAAAATAAAATAGGCCTATGTTTTAAAAACAAACAGACTAGAGCAAAGCATGAAACAGTTGCACTATGTAAATAAATGCAGTGTTTGTAAGAAGTGAATTTCAACTTAATATCAAATGTTTTATTAGGTAACCTTAACAAATTTATAGGCTAATTTAAAAACTGAGTAAATTTATTTATAAAAGACAGAATTTTGCGATTACATTTTTTTACAATTCCCTTAATAACATAGCTTAGGCTACTTATTTAGGTACCTACTTTATTTGATTATTTGATCCCCATGCACTAAATAATAAACTGCTAAACTTACTCACTGTTTTATTACTGTACTTACTTGTTACCGTACTTTGAAAAAGAAATCATGTAATCTTACCCAATAGCTGACGAGCTTCCTGCAGCTTGCTGATTAACATTCAATCTTTTATCCATTTTGAGATCTTCATTTGAAGCAGAGAATTAAAGGAAATCTCAATCTAGAAAAAATAAAGTTATACAGCACCTAACATTACTGTAGGCACAAATAATTGCATCTATATAGCATGTACCTATCAAAAACCAACGGGCTTCCCGAGATTAAGACCCCTAACTTACCTCCGGATTGAGACCCCTAACTTACCTCCTCTTAAAAATTATTAACTTACCGGTAACCATTCAATCTATCAAGAATAAATATGTAGGTAGCCTACAGTAAGTTAAGAGAATAATACACACAAGTTTTATTAAGTTAGGTAGTTTCTGATCAATGGTGAAGGAACGAGGCACAAGTATTTTTAAGTTAAGTTGGTTAAGTTACCATGCAACCATTAGTTAATAGCTTAAGGAACAAAATTCTTGTTAGACATAAGTGTGCGTCAATTAACTCACGAATAAGATTCAAGATAGTTTATTTGAAGAGTAAGAAATTTAAGAGACCGGCAAAAAAAAACACCCCTTAACATAGCCTAACTTAATAAAATGGTGCTGTCCTTAAGCTAACCGAACCTCTAGAACGTTAGCAACTCCTTTTGATGACAGAAAAGGCATGTCAGGGTGGACAGACAGGCTAACTTATGTGCCAATTTGTGAATGCATTAAGTGACCCTTTGAAGGTCTTAGGGCTAGGTTAGATTAGGGTAAAGTTTAGGTTAAGTATAAAATAAACGCTGTGGCTAAACTTACTCGTATGCAACCGTACGCCGTCAATCAATGACGTCACCTGATGAATGGCGTCACGGACGGCTGTTGGCATACACATGTACATTCGATATTTTTAACTATAGGCCTATAAATTATAAAATGGTGCTGTCCTTAAGCTAACCGAACCTCTAGAACGTTAGCAACTCCTTTTGATGTCAGAAAAGGCATGTCAGGGTGGACAGACAGGCTAACTTATGTGCCAATTTGTGAATGCATTAAGTGACCCTTTGAAGGTCTTAGGGCTAGGTTAGATTAGGGTAAAGTTTAGGTTAAGTATAAAATAAACGCTGTGGCTAAACTTACTCGTATGCAACCGTACGCCGTCAATCAATGACGTCACCTGATGAATGGCGTCACGGACGGCTGTTGGCATACACATGTACATTTGATATTTTTATCTATAGGCCTATAAATTATAAAATGAAACTTGTTAGGCTATAACATAACCTAACTTACCAACCTTGCTGATGGTGAACATATCAAATGAAGATTTATAAATAAAAAAATAGGAGAGCTTTCAAAGTATTATAAAATTAAACTGTTATAGCCTAATCTAAGATAGCCTAACTAACCAAACTTGCTGATAAAGCAATTAATGCAATACGTTAATCGAATGAAGGTTGTTTACAAGGTATAATAAAAAAAATAACTTAGGCTAGGCCTAGTTCTTTAATCGCATTCTAAGCAAAATGGAATAGGCCCTAACAAAAAGTTTAGGTCGCCTGTGAGATTCAATCTGGTTACCTCTTGGATATCAGCCGAGTTCTCTATCCACTATACAACGAACACCGATGGCTGCACTTGTATCGTTGCAGTAATGGTGCGTCAACAGGCGTCCATGACATCATTGACGGACGGTGTAACGGCGTATGGTTGACAGACGAGTAGCCACAGGGTAAAATGAGTTGGGTTTGTTAACTTAAGTTTGTTTCTGTTAGCCTAAGCCTATCCACAGACTAGGCTATTTTTTAAAAATTAGGCTAAAACCTTAATAAAAACACTTTTAAGTAGGCCTAGGCCTACTAAGTTAACCTTAACTTTAGGCCTGCATTTCAAAGTTTAACCCTCCGAGTGTTAAGAGTCGCGTAATCGACGCACAACACACCCGCCGTGGTATTATGCGTCGCTTTTGCGACACACAAACATCGTTTACGGCGAAGGATCTGAAACTGACTGAATCAGATTGAACTGGATCGATATTGGTGTCGTTGTTTTCGGCAGATTCTAAGCTTTCTCCTGATGTCTGTTTCTAAAAGCTTTTCATTTTAGTTCCGAAAATATTGTAGCAGACAGCTGACGTGCGTATTTGTAAACTTGGTTAACCTCGTACCGATGACTGATGTGTTTTAGCCTATTACGTTTATCATTGTTTTAGTGTTAAAAATAAAAAGTAGTGATATACGTGGTGCATTATAAAAAGATTTAAGTGATTTTGAAGGGCTGGTTGATGATCCTGAAGAAGTTAAGTTAGGTAGTGATATTGATGTAAATTATCGGCCAGATTCCTAGCTATGGTTAGGCTATGCATTCTTAGCTAACGCTAAATGTATGAAATCTGTTTTTCACCCATAACTTATTTAAGTTATTTGCAAATTTACTTCCTTATATTATTATATTTTTGTAATCCTTAGGCCTATAAATTATAAAAATTTATTGAGCGCAAACATAATTTTTTTTTCATTTAGCCTATTTTAAGTATAATTTTTAGAAATGTTAACCCCACAAAAATTGTTGAAAATTTTTGTTGTAATGTTTTATATAGCCTATTAGGGCCATTCTTCAGAAAAGGACAGATTACGATCACCAAGGAATAATAAATAAAAATTAAGATAATAAATACATAATTTGTTGTTAAATATGTAGGTAAACGTTTTTTTTTATACTTAATGTAAAGAAGAAAAAAATCTAAATGAAATTTAATGAACATTTTATGTCCACAGAAGGTGACATAGGCTATCACTTCTGTGGACAGTCACCCCTCTAGGTTTAGCTTAAGATTAGCTGATTTTACTAACAAATTTGAAATAAGAATTAGCCTATTAAACCCAATTGCTGTTGTCTATCTAGACATTGAATATTAATAATATTTTGTTTATTTTACTTTTTCTATTCTATTAAAGGTAAAAAAAAAACAAAGAAAATCGGTCACCAAAGCCTGCATCACTCCTGTGGACAGGCATATATATGTAGTTCCAAAAAATCCACCAGGAGGCAGCACTGGCCAACTTTCACTATTTTTTTACAGAGAAGAAGTAACCATCTTGAACATAGAATCAGTTTGGTTGTGTTCTGTTCAGTTATTAAGTTGTTTATATCATGTGAAACTAGAGTTTTTTTTAAATTGATCGTCGAGCTAATAGGCCTATAGCCCTCCGAGTGTTATGTGTCGAAAAATCGACACATAACACACTTTGTGTAGTGTTTTGTGTCGATTTTTCGACTCACAAACACTGTTTACAGCAAAGGCTCTATGACTGACAAAATCGGATTGAACTGGATCGAGTTAGGTAAGATATCGTTCTTTTCGTTAGATTCTAAGCTTTCTAAAGGTCTGTCTCTAAGCGCTGTATGTTCTCCGAGCCGATCGTAATTGTAGCGGACAGCTGACGTGCATATTTGTAAACAGGTTAGTTAACCTCGGACCGATGACTGATGTGTTTTATTATGTTTATCATTGTTTTAGAGTTAAAAATCAAAAGTAGTGATATACGTGGTGCATTATAAGAAGATTTAAGTGATTTTGAAGGGCTGGTTGATGATCCTGAAGAAGTAGGTAGTGATATTGATGTAAATTATCAGCCAGATTCCTAGCTATGGTTAGGCTATGCATTCTTAGCTAAACGCTATGTACCGAAATCTGTTTTTTGCCCATAACTTATTTATTTGCAGATCTACTTCCTTATATGATTATATATTTGTAATCCTCATAAAGTTTAGAACAAAGTGGCTATTTTCAAATATTTATAGGCCTATAATTTATACAACTTCATTGAGCGCGAACTTATTTTTTTTTTTTGAAAATGTTCCAAAAAAAATTTTTTTTACCTAAAAAAATTTTTTGTAACAAATTTTCCTTATGTTTTATGTATAATATTGAAGCCCATGATTTTCCAAACAAAATGGTATATAGAACAGTATAATTAACATTGTTTTTAAGCTTCTCAGATCCGTTTTAATTGTACCATATTGTATTATTCATTTTATATAATTTTCCAATCATTTATTATAACATTTATGATTACATGTATGAAGGAAACCTGTAGGGACAAGTAAGGAGTGATGAGTCAAAAATGTAAAGTGGTGGGGGTACACCCTTCCACTGCTGAGACAGAGACCATTCCTATGGTGGCTCCCTGTATATACGGTCAGCGGTTCTTTTACTCTCTTCGTCAGCGATTCACCCTTCACTTGAAGGTACTGTACTATTTTGTTAAAGTTGCCTAATATATAAAAATTACATAAATGTTCTTATTTGATTTGCAGGATCTGTTTACAACAATAGTAAGTTTTGTTTGGTATTCGATTGTATAATTTTATAAACATAAAGTAAATTTAAATGTAACTCTACAACAAAGACTATGTTTTGTTATTAGGGCTGATGTTTCCGAGTAATGAAGACGAACAATACCTTTTAATATCCTATCCTTAATTTTCAAGTATTCAATGGGGTTAGAATTAATTAAATATTTTCTTAAATTGTAAAAAGGTACATTAAATTGAAAAGTCTTGTTCTGCAGGATGTTTAGCTGTAGTTTTGATACTCCAATAAATTTATTATTCATTTGATATGTTATTCAATCGTATTTCCCAAGATTAAATTTGTACCGGTTAAGTGACACACAAAAAGTACGGTACAAAAAATGCGCCACTCTGCTTTATGGATCAGTCATGGATCTTGTGTAAAATAATTGTCTTTTAAATTGTGTATTTAGCTTGTGTTAATTAATACAAATTTGCAAACATGACGATTAAAGTGGATTTATTGTTAAAAGATGAACTTATCTTTGAGTTAGAAGTACGAAATTTAAAATTAAGTGAAACAAGTAATGTTGTTGACTTAAGAAAAATGTTAAGACAAGCTATATCACAAAAGGTCCAAGTAAATTATGATTCAATTAAAACAAAAATTGTGCCGGATGAGGAAATAGATTTAATTAGTGAGAAAATTGTTTTAATAGAGAATAAATGTGCAGAGTTAACTAAGGACAGTAGATCAATGGAGCTAGCAAGGCAAGATACACGAATCAAACATTGTAAGCATAGATTAAATGCGTTAAGTTTGTGTAGTTTAACAGAAAAACAAAAGGGTGAGTGTAAAGAACTGTTAGAAAAATGTAAAGTAATGAAAGATAAGTTTGAAGCGTTGGAATTCGATAAGAGCGCGGTTGAAATGTCGATCCGTAAGCTAAGTGAATCAAATGTAGAGGAGGAGAATTTAGAAAATGTATTTTTTGAAAATCATCCTGACACATCCCCTTCCCATCCGGAACGTAAAGCTGAACTGAGTAGGTGTAAAGTTCCACTCCTTGATTCGAACGCCTGTGCTTCAACCACCCCCGCACCCTTTGATCCCCAAATTTATAGAAAGTTACCCAATCCAATAGAAACTTACCTAAAGGATATAACAACATGCAATGGATTAGTGACTAGTGAGCTAATTGAGTTCATTAAGATTTTATTCAAAGTCCAAAAAGAAACAAGGTTGTCAGATGCCCAGATTTTGGAAATTTTCGTAGCTAAGTCACAATCTCCACTTCTTGATGTTATGTTAAGTAACTTAGAAAATAGTCTGGAGGTTGTTAAAGAGAAAATAGTCAAATTGTTTGTACCTATAAGCGTTAGGGAGGACCTAATCAAACAACATGTCACACGTCATCAGGAAACCAATGAACCCCTTCCATTGTACATAAATAGAGTTAAAGAGTATGCTAAAATACTAAATTGTTCTTATACAGAATTTGAGCTGGTAGAGTTTATACTAATTGGCTTAAACCCAAGGTGTAGAGTAAATCTGTCTTTAGTCAGAAATCTT